AACATTGATTCACGATTCATCATACACATTTCGTACAGATGAATAAGACGATGTCCATCCATTCGAATACATAACATAAGTAACGTATCTTTGAGACCAATAGAAACAAGAAATGATTTAACATGATCATTAGTCCATTGATTGATACAATGTGGTAGTTTACTATAAAAATTAATCCATGAATGAAAATTTATTATAACACAGAGTCATAAGAATAACTTCAAATAAATCCCCCCCCCCCCCCAGAATAAAAAGGCATGGCCTTCTATTATGTCCTGACGAATCGGTCTTTTTTTGGTGGCGTTGTATTGAGGGTGACTTTCTATTATGGATTTTTCTAGAAATTCCTTTTATAACTATATTAATTTTCCAGAAATTTTTTCTTACTAATTTTATTCATTTAAAGTGTTCCAATGTGTTTTATTCGTTCATCTTCTTATTTTCTCTTATCGACGAATGAAAACATGAGAAAAGAGAGAAAGAGAGAGAAGAAAAATTAATCAGAAAAGAATAATCTGTCTATAACATATCTATTTTTTCCATATTTCACAAATTTTTAAGTGTTTGACTGGAGTGGCTTTCTATTATGTCCAGCGTATCAAACGTTCGTAGGTGGCGTTCTATTCAGGGTGGCCTTCTATTATAGGGTGGCGTTCTATTATGGGGGGGGGGGGGGGGGTTTACTTACACGGTCGAATATTGTTCAACTGATGGAGCAATTGTTGCCGAACTTTTCTGTGGATCTTTTTCTTTGGGAATAATTGTTGATAGACTTGTCTTCTTTTGATGACATTGATTAATTTCAACTTTCAATCGATCATAGGCGGATTCAAATTCCAGTTTTACAAAATCGACATACAGTTTACCACTGGCAATAATTCCGAGCCATCCATCAGGTTTATAGTGAGATTTCATGATCAAAGGAATGAGTTGACGACGACGTTCGAAAGCATAATGGGCTTCTGATTGACAATAGACACTTTGTTTGTATGCATCAGACATACAAATGAGAATAATATTCGAGTTTTCAATTGCTTCAGCCATGGCTATCATGGTAGCACCATGCATTTGTTCTCGATCGATCCATACACGAAATTCATCTTTAACTAGTTGTTCATGAATCCGGTGACATATTTGTTTATCACTGTGTGAATAGCTAATCATGATGTCGAATTGATGTGTATTGGTCGAAGTTGGTTTAGCAACTGCTTCTGTCTCTTTTTCTAATTTCCAAAGAAGACCTTCAGCTGCACGCTTTAAACTAGCTTCAGTCGAAATAGTATTCTTGGATAGATTGCGGACATAATTCATAAACTGTTGATTCTGTTTTAGAGAAGATGAAGCATCATTTTTAAAGGAAAGAGCGAGAAGAATCTCGAGAGCAGGTTTTTGTGCTTTAATAGGATCAAATTTCGTTTCCATGATGCATCGAATCAGTAGAGGAAGGATGTTCTGATCGAGCAGATAAACTTTCAATTGATCGTGTTGAACCCAATCTAAAAGAATCCAAAGTAAGATGAGTAGTTGAAGGATATCACTTACTAGTTAAACTTTCTAACAGACTGTAAAATCGGCCTTTTTTCTTCACATCATCGATACTATTGGAAAGAAATTTAATATAGATTATCGCAATTTTATCTGGATGAGCCATAGTTTTGATATCTTCTTCCACCATAATTTTTCCTAAACAACGATAAATATTCAACTGTGTTTCATCCTGTTGAATATCGGTCATTTTGAGTAGTATAGGTATTAAATTAGGAATCGTTGTCATAAAGTTTAATACACTAGGATGTAACGTGAAATTATATAAATCTTGAACGATGAATCTTATAATTGTTGTACGAGCAGATGCCTTGGAAGATGATTCACGAGTTATGATTGGCAAGAATGAGACCCATTGTGAGACTAGTTTACAATAATCATCGTAAAACTCTTGACTGGAAATGTTTGAAGTTTCCCAGTCGATCGGACGAACAAGAATCACATTCAAATGACGGATCATATCTCTCACTTCTTCAGAACAGTGAACAATAGAATCTGATTGACAGTTTAACGATTCTCCCAACTTTGGTCGACAGTAAAAATGTCGAAGTATAAAAAG